AATGATTTAGCCACCAAGTAACAAACCCTAAAATCTCTCTAAAATATAGACATTCATCTTAAATACAATTATATTTATAACACTATTGATGTAATTGTGGTGTCTTTTTTACTAATAAAAGAACCTAATACGTGTCTTCTTTTTATGAAAATTTATCAATATTGGCGGATTCACTATCTCCAAATTTATCAAACACCTTAATTATTATTAAGAGGAAATTTATTACATGAATTTATCAATTTCTTTCACTTTAGATCCTGACATGATGTGCACAATGTTAATGAACGTAGTCTTTTTTCCCTCGGTGTAGTGAATGTAATTCTCTTAACCAATTCTGAACTTGCTTTTATCTATAAACTAGTGAATTTGTCGTGCATAAAAAAGACCTTTTTATATTTATAAAATAATTTTTTTAATATTTAAATAATAAAAATAACAAAAATATATTATATACACGTAATTGTTCAACTTCCCATTCTTTTACACTATATCTGACTTCACAAAGGAAAAGCGATAGATAAAGGAGAGAAATTTTATTAATTTATTTTTTAACATAAAGTATTCTAAAATTCCACCATTATCAGTTATAAATATAATAAAAAGTATATGATATTTCTTGCCGACTCCTCCATGATTGGAATTATAGAAGAGTTCGTACCCGGCAATAGAGTATTCTTTTGCGTGCTACGTATGCATAAATGCTACGTAATTCCTTTTCCTATTAGCTTTCCCAATGGATGAAGCTGGTGCGTAATTTCCTTTATCATTCCTAAGATTCCTATTCAGAGAATGCGCAGATACATCTACGTCGCTAATTTGCAATAACAGTCTTCATAGACAGACTTAAGAAATTGGCAACAATTTGCACATATATAGAGGCTTCAATTTGCAAATAAATGATCGTTGCACCAAAAGATGCAAAGTTAAGTACTACAACGACTAAAAATCAGACATAAATCAAGAATAGAGATAATTGAATACCAACCAAACATGAAAAACCACAATTTCCAAAACCAGAAAGAGGAGAAAGAAGAGGAAGTCGACCTTAAAGACTAACGTCAAGTAATAATCAGTAATTCAATACAGAGATACAGTAAGAAAACAAAATATGAGAGATAAAAAATTAATAAAATCAGAAAGTGGGTTACCTCTGACGAGTAGGAGAAAGAAACGGGGCAGAAATCAAATTAAAAAATACTGAAGAGGAAAAGAAGTATTTTGCCTTTGTGGTGGGAAGGGAGAAGAGGAAAAGCAAGGCGTTGGAGATTTACCCTGAAAGGAAAAAGTGGAAGAAAAGAAGCCCTAAATCGTACTCCAATTATGAGGATTAATGACGTTTCGCGTTATAATCGTGGTAAGCGAGAGAAAGGAAGAAGAAAGGGGTCAGTTATGGTTAGAAGAAAGCGTCTGTTGAGTTTTTTTTTTAATTAATAAATAGAAATAGGGAAAATATGAAAAATTGTCAAACAAAAAGGAGAGAAATGATAAATGCAAATGCTGGGCATTGGAATGTCACGCCCAAAACCTGAAGAGGCGTGGCCGGCACCCGGTGACATATTCGGCCCTAGCATACCACTCTCTAACTGTGAACTTTCGAGGAGTAACCCTCAACTTAGACAGATGAGGCCATATTTAAATTATCTTAAAATAACGTTTGCAACCAACAATACCAAATTAAACATCTATATAGGGCTGGTAAAACAACAATACTGATATAAAAAATGTACATGACTCGCCTACAAGTCTCTAGGAATAACTGAATTGTACCATGGTCGGGACAGGACCTCGACCTACCCATCAAACATGTATATATAAAATGGACTCCAAGGTATAGACATGGTAACTCCGAGGAAGTGGAGCTTACCAACCAAGATAATGTTTGACTTTGTCTACTGGGAAGGTCTATCCAACTGTCTATCAGGATCTGCAGGCATGAAATACAACGTTCCCAGCAAAAGGGACGTCAATACGAAATAATGTACCGAGTATGTAAGGCAACAAGATAACTGAAATCTGAAACATAACTGATAATATAATAATTAAAAGTACTTGGGAGTCAAATATAATATTGAAGATATGCTTACCTGCTGATACTGACTCATCTCTCTCAATATAGTAAGTACAATAGTTGTCCCGCCCTATAAGGCTCAGTATGTGTAACTGCTCTACTGTAGTAGACTCGCTCATAGGCGCTCGACCACACTGGGCTTTATATCTCGACCATTTTGGGCTCGCTCATAGGCGCTCGGCCACAGTAGATTCGGTATATAACTTACCATCTGATCAGAGGTTGCCCAATAGGGGCCTGCCCACCGATTATAGCTTGGTGGTGGTTAAAATACTGTAATACTGTATATATATAGACTCTCTGCTCTCTTGGCTGAAAGAAGACAATACTTAACTGAATAGAAAGTCCCAATAAGGGAGAATACTGTAACTTATGAGACTAGGATAATGTACATAAGTTCAGGAATACGAACTTCTCTTTATGCCTCGTTATCAAACTCATGGAGTTATGGGATCATGTCAAAATGAAAAAAGGTTTATCCTTAACATACCTTATCACAATCTTTCCAATCACCAAGTTGAACTCGCCTCTTCGCACCTTAATCTATAACAACAATAATAATACTATCATTAAGTTACGAAAGGTACAACTATATATCGCACAATGAACGACAAGCTTATTTTGTATTAAAACGGGCAGCATCTCCCCTATAATCCTTATTTCCTCCAAATTCAAGATAACACCAATACAAGAACACAACAATATCAACATGTATACATTATTTTTCAACCTTATATACATCACAAAATATTACAAAACAGCCCAACACACCCCAATCTCTTCATACACAAAACGACCACCGTAGTAGTGTCAAACAACCCGGAATTATTACGACGAACGACCAGACCACCACCCTGCATTTATATGGTGTTTATCCATACCCTTCCTCCTACAAAACCCCATAAAATAGTAGTAAAACACGCAATCCAACATCAACACAAAACAGTCCACAAAATAGTCCGCTACAAGTGAATAACTCGAACTCACGGCTTCCTATCACCGTCTCGTGAGTTCTTACAATTATAAAACGACTTTTCATACATCTTCAGCAGAAAAAAATAGATGAAAGAGAGCAGTAAACTTACCTTATTTTTTGAATAACTCGGCTCCTATCTTGGTTCTTCAAACTCAAGGTTTTTCCTCCAACTAGAACTTGAAAGGGAGAGAAATTCAATTAGAGTTTGTGTGTAATTTTTAGGAGGATGTTTGTAGGGGTTTAGGTCTGGTTATTGTGCCCTATTATCAGTGTATTATATGAACAAAATAGGCCTTTAAAAGGTCTCTTTGGACGGCCTGAAATGGCCCATTTTCGGACTGTCATTTAAGCAAGTAGGTGACAGACCTACTTGCCACCTAGCAGCTTGTGCAGTCTTGCAAAAACACATATATATCTCTACTCCGATGTTGTATTGACAAACAATTTAATGTGTTAGAAAATAGACTCATAGATCTTCAATTTGATGGGTGGAAAACTCCATAAATCTAAGTATATTGGGAGAAAATCGCAGTTACATTTGACCTAAATTTCAGTAAAACTTATGAATGTAACTTGTGATGATCTTTGCCAACTTTTGTTCCACAACTCGCTTGACTTCAAAACATAACACACGACTATCATAAGATAAAAATAACTCTTAACATAACCTCCTTATCATTTTGAGAACCCTAGTCTCACCCCAAAAGTATATGTTATAACATTCTCAACTTGTCGACTTTCGACAAAATATATTTTCTTCGGTTCCTTACCTTTTGAACCTTCCAAACTTTTTTGTACTTGTTCATGATCCTCAATATTTGTAACCTCCATGGTAAAATGATTAACTTATTTTATATACTTTCAAAGATGTTCTCATTTCTTAGCTTAAATCAATTGACTTATGACGTACTCTTATGTACGAAAACATGGGGTGCAACAAGGAAGGTGCCACATCACCTTTTCTATTCCCAGCTTTAAGAAAAAAAATAAAATATATATATATATAGAGAGATATTTTCTTTTCTAATTTCTGTAGCAATCATTCTATTTTGGATTTTAAAAAGGTTGACAAAATTTTGCTAATAATATTCTTACACAATTTCCAGATATTTTGAACATTAAAGATATTTAATAATAAATTTAACTTTTTATGTAGTGCTTTCTTAAACAAACTTCTTGATTACTGTTTTAATATTTTGTAATGCTATTACAAATATAGTAATACATAAATTATAAATCAATTAACATTTTAAACTCTTGCATCTGTCAAGTAGGTAATATTAGATGCAAGTGAATACCAAATGCTATCGAGAGTTGTTGTGATATGAATAGGAACCTCGAAGATTTCGTGATTGAGCCCCGAAAAACCAAAAAAAATAAATTGGAAAGCGCTTCTCCTTTAATAAGTCTTATACCGAATACATAGTAGATAATCGAAAAACCAAAAAAAAAAAAGAAAAAGAAGAATAAGTAACTAGCGGGATTGGCTGGCACTATTTTGTAGAGGAAATGGTTTAATATAATGCTTTACAAATTGAATTGAAGCAGATGCTTTTATTAAAAACAAATTTGTTTTATTTTCAAATCTCGCACAAAAAATAATTTTTGTAAAGAATACTGACATAAAACTAATTTTTTTTAATAGGCCACAAAAATCAATTGACCTTGTAGAGGTGTAATCTGCATAGCAATTTATTAGGAGTAATAACTTTTGAAGAAACTCATTCTGAAAATCAGGAAATATAGCTAGATTGGCTGGCATTATCTCTGCCTTTACAGCAAACATTAATAGGAGTAATAATAATAATAATAATAATAATAATAATAATAACTTTAAAAGAAGGTCCTTCTGAAAATCTGGAAAAATAAATTGATGGACCCCACTTAGTTACTTTTTTGACAATAAGATGATCGTCATCACCACTATAAAGCAAGACCAAGAAGATGAGCTCTTCCATTATTACACACAGACCAAACTAATATAGCAACAGTTTCTTGTCATCCCTTTTCTTACTTTTTCTTTGTAAGAAAGAAGAAGTGGGTTATTATAATACAGTTAATAGTTATAATACAGTTAATAGGAGTAAATTTTAAAAAAAAAGAGGTGGGTAAATTTTATGAGCTGATGCTGAAATTGAGTACCTCAAATAATAACATGGATCTTGGGAATTCTTGGAATAATAGTAGCAGTGTCAGCTTCCATACTTGTTTAAGTATTGATTTCAGTTACTTCCATTCAGCTGCCATGTTTTTGTCTTTTGGGAGTTCAATTGCAGTACCTAAAATGGCCTTAAATAATTCCTCTTCCAGTAAACCTTGTTATGCTGATGATTTAATTCTCAAGTCTTCTTCTTTTTCTTATTCTTGAAGTAGAAGACTTAAATTTGATCACCACTCCCCTCTTCAACTGTTTTCTTTTCTTTTATTTGTTTGTTTCTTTGTTTTCTTGATTGTGTGTCATCAGCCTTTTTTGTCTCTTATAAAAGACCTTTTGCGACTCTATAAATCCTAGAGAAATGCTGTGTGCATCATTGCCAGGGTTAGACGGTGGTGCTGTGAAAGCATCTTCAGCAGCTATGGCTCCTTTGGATATTTACAGCAGGTAAAATTTTGTCCTTTTCTGGTCAAGAATTGAATTGGGTTTTGTTGAATTTTGATTTTTCAAGAAAAAGTGTTTTTTTCTTTTTTTGGTTTGTTGAATTTTCATTACTATTAGTTGTTTATTGGTAAAGAAGCATTTGTGTGCTACTAGTATTTACTAGGCAATTCCCAGAGCCTTTATTCTTTACGATCATCAGGTGTGGTTTTGATGGTAGTATTGGATGTTGGATTGGGAATGGGAAAGGAAAGTGGAACAAATTGGCTGCTGCAACTACAAAGGCACCAATGAAGAGGAGGTTCAACATTTCTCCTATGGCTTCCTCTGCTCTAGCTGAATCCCGATGTACTTCTAGAGCCAAATTTTATCAGGAGGTTGGGGCTATTATTTCTTGTGATATCCCATCTTTATTCATGTTGTTAAGTGGTGTGATTTGTATTGTGAATTCAATTTCTGCCTTTAATCAGTTCATTCCACTTTAAGATTTTTTTAAATATACAACAACAACAACAACAACATTACCCAGTATTATCCCACACCGTGGGGTCTGGGATTTTAAAAAAAAAAACATATGGTGGTAGAAAATTGGTGCATTGATTGAGGATTTCGCAATTTGGCAGGTTCTTAACGATGCCAGGGAAAAATTTACCCAGGAGATATCTTTCCAATCCAAGGACAGAGATATTTCTCTGGCAAAGGTAAATATTTATGAGTCTTGCTCAGCTCTTTTTGTTGAAAGCAGTTGATCTATTGAACTGAATAATGAACAATATCAATTTCAAGCAACAAAAACCAAAGCTAAGTTCACTTTGTAAACAGCTATTTGTTCATAAATAGTTGCTGGCATTGAGGAATGGTACGTCTGTTTATGAATATTGCCAGTTGTCATGAATGTAAAATCAGCTTTTTTGCCTTTGTAAATTGGCTTCTCCTTCACTTTTATCTGTATTGATCGTGTCTCATGTGTGTTGGTTGTTTTCTATTGTCCGAGTAGGCTTTGCTTTATGTGGCCTCCGAAGACGAGGCATTTATGGCTTTCAACCGGGAGATGGATGCATATTCGCTCCAAAGTGAGAGGAGATCTGCTTCATTGCCTTCTGATGCCACGGAATGGACATGCGTGGAGGCCATGCCTCTTGCTGGAAAGAATATGAATGAGTGGATGCTTGAGTTGGATGTCATTGCTAGAGAAGTGGAGGCAGAACTAGTTTCGAGAGAAATAGGATGCGATTTGGCTGAAGTTTTGGATGCAGTGAACATGGTTCTTTTTAAGTCAAGGGGATTCAAAAGGTCATCTGTACTTGTGGATTCAAAGTGTGCATACCTGCATTCAGTGTTAAGCTCTGGATATTGTAGTGGTATTTCTTCCTTTCCTCCCCACTCACTATCAGCGTTATTTTGCCTATGTCCGAAATCCTGCAACCTCAAAATACTTGTTGCGCACCGATAATGCTATCTGATGTAGTGCTTACCTTTTGTACAGCAATTTTGCTTAGCGTCGTTTATATTGAAGTCTGTCGAAAACTTAATCTGACCATTGTGGGATCCCGAGTTGGGGAAGATTTTTTAATATGGCCCCAAACTGGAAACCCTGAGGTTTGTTATTCTGAGTTCATTGATGATGTCAACATTTGTCTTAGTTCATCCATCATGTAGTTTGTAAAGCATGGTATTACTGTCCAATAATCTCATTGGGTTTGAACTGTTTTGCTTACTCTTATAGGAGCTATTCAAGGTTATTTCTGGTCACAGCTTGTTTGGTATTGTTAATGGCAAGTGTGTCGACGACCCTAGATCAAGGGCTTCTGACATCAATAGTAATTCGTTGCCGGGGCTTGAGTTAGCAACAAAACGAGATATTATCGGAATAGCTTTGGCTAATTTGATGGTAAGATTTATTCTCCTGCAAAGTGAAGTCTGTAGCGCATCACATTCATCAACATCACCGTGTCGATGCCGTGGTTGTGATTTTGGTGGAATGATTGATCAATAATCAAAACTTTTTTTTTCCAGAGGCTTCACTGGAAACGTGCTTCAAGAGCAAATCATGGTTTGATGCTGACTTCTCCCCTTAGATCTGTTGATCATGCAGATGATAAGTCTAATTGTCTGAATGTCCCATTGTTGCGGCCTCAAGATTTGAGGTAACGGTCTTATCCTCTATTGTTTCACTTTTACTACTTTTGGGTCTCGTTCCTGATTAAGCAGGCGCCACTTTGTGTTGTCCCTACAGGTTCAAGATGCTAAATTGCAACCTTGGCATGAGAAAGGGAGACTTGAGAATTTTGGACGCATATTTTTATTCTATTTGATTCTAACATTCTACTAAAATTCTAACATTCCACTAAAATAACCATTTAACCCATTGTGTTGAAATATAGTCGGTGCTTATTCCTCCATTTAAGTTTATAAGAAAACATAATGGGGTTCCTGATCCCTCACTGCTATAGCTCTATTTTGGTTATATAAGTCCTTTCTATTTCTATATATATACTGAGCAAATTGAAAATGACTATAAATACTGCATCGCACAGATTGACTTTCCTTTTTACATACTTTTAGCCTATCCTTCCTTTTACTCCCTTATTGTTATTTCTTTTCATCTCTCCCACATTCCTTATAGAAATCCAAGAAAGCCAACCTTGTCTTTCTCTCTTTCTGGTCTTTAGGAGCTGTTGCTTTCTTTAGGTTTTTTCTTTTCACTGAATCCACTGATTCTTCTTACAAAATCAAGTTATTCATCTAACCAAATCAACTGTTTTTAAACAGGCATATGTACTTGGACAAGGAAGGTACCCGGCCCGGGGGGGGGGGGGGGGGGGGGGGGGGGAGGGAGCACAGAAGTAGCGATAATTATGAGAGATCACTTGCTTGATGCTGTGTTGCATGTGTCTAGCAGCATTCTTCTGGTCTATTACATCATAAAACATATCATTCATTGTCACTGAAATATATGAAGGTCTTCATCTACATTCTCTTTTAGGGGAGCATCTCTGTTTCTGTTTCTGATATCCATTCAGAACTCATTATCTTCCTGTTGTTTTCTTCCGTTATACATTCTACTAAGGTGGTTATAATTGGTACCTGTTATTTCTTCGTTAAAAACATGTATGTATATCAAGTAACAAGGAAGTAAGAATTGAGGCATTTACTAGACTGCAGTATACTATGCACCACACACATTGGACAGGAAGAGTTTTTAACAAATCAAACACTAGTTGGCATTTTTGATGATGATCTGTTGAGCATTAAGTTTTGTTTGACATGCAAAACCATGCTAGTAGGATTAATGATGAATCATTTTCTATCTTACTGTTCTCAAAGAGCCAAGATATTTATTTGCACATAAATAAGGGCTATGTTTAAATTAAGGTTTTCAGGTTATCATGCACAGATGTCTGACCTTTCCCTAAGGGATTAAATTTGTGTGTAATATGATCTGTTCACTTATAATGACATTATGTCTCTCTCTGGAATGGTACAATACTTTCTAGGCTGGCCATTATGGCTTCAGAAAGATTGCTCATTCTGCAGCCACACAATTGGGCTCTGAGGAGAGACCATGGCATGATGTTGTATTATAGTAGGTATGTGTTTCTTAAATTTTCTTTGCTTTCTCATTTTTGACAAGCCTTCATTCAACAAACTATTTTGACAAATAAACGCATACATCAGGGAATATGAAGAGGCAGTTCAGGAGCTTAGCATTTGCATGGCCTTTGCCCCAGAAGAAGCGGCCGAAGTTCTGGAACCTTTTGTTGAGAAATTACACTTGTTGCGGGTTGAATCATCTTGGAAAGAAAGGCCATTTAACAGTTTCTTGAATTGTTTGTAGAAAAGCTGTAGCTGTTTCTGCATTAAGAGCACAGCGAGTACTACTTTGGCTGTAATCTCTTTTTTTGACTTCTGTAAATATATTCCTTGGACAACCTAAAGTTGTATCCTTTCTAGTTTCTATAATGAAATAAATAACAGAACTAGAACAGCTTCAGGCAGTGATCTAAAACCCGCTCTCTTCTTTTTTTCTTTTCTAAATATCGAAAAAATTTGCTGTGGACTTCTGGCCCGACTCCAGTTGGTTCACAGGTCTGAAACTCCGGAAAAGTGTGATGCCTCTATGCTCAACTTAAATATCAGGCTTTTGTGTCCTCAAATCTTATATATACTCCACCTAACAACAATAATTACATATCAATCTCAAACAAGTTAGATTCAAATCTTATACTCCACCCATTCCACCTTATTTGACACTATTTTCTTATTAGCTTAGTAAAAAAAGAATGACACATTTCTATATTTCTTAATGAGAAACTTTTTTGGCCACATAAATGTTATAACGTTTGAGACTAACAAGTGTAACGATCCGACTGGTCGTTTTATTTATTTGAGCCCCGTTTTCCCTTTTGAAACGTCCTATATGTGTATTTGTTGTTTTATGACTTGCGGGGATGGTTAGTTTCGTTTCGGGGAAGTTCTGGAATGATTTGGATCCCTTAGTTCTTGGTTTAGAAGCTTAAGTTGAAAAATGTTGACAAGGTTAGACTTTTGTGAAAACGACCCCGGAATGGTATTTTGATGGCTCCGATAGGTTCATATTGTGATTTTGGACTTAGGTGTATGCTTGGAATTGAATTTGGAGATTCCTAGGTTGATTTGACTTGTTTTGCCGAAAATTGGCATTTTAAATGTTCAGAAATTCTTTAGGTTTGACCGTAGGTTGACTTTATGGCTATCAGGTTCGGATTTTGGTTTTTGCACTTGGAATAGGTTCGTTTTGCTCTTTGGAACTTGTCTGCAAATTTTGGTGACATTCTAAGTTGGTTTGATAGGAATCAGACGCTTGGTTGTGATTCTAGTGATTCTTGAGTTCATTGTAAAATTTCATGCGTTTTGATGTCCGATTCGTGGCTTCGGATGTTATTTTGATGTTTTGATCTCGCGAGCGAGTTTGTATGATATTTTTAGACTTGTGTGAATGTTTGGTGTGGAACCTCGAGGGGTCGGGTGAGTTTCAGACGTGTTTCGGATTGGTTTGAACTAAATACAGGTTGCTGGTGTGCTCATGCTTCAGTTATCACAATTGCGAGCACCAGCATCGCAATTACGAAGTTGGCAGGGGGTCTCAGGTATCGCATTTGCAACACCTTGATCGCTATTGCGAAGGGTGGCCTTTGGCCGGGTAGCTCGCATTTGTGACCATCTAGCCGCACTTGCGAAAGGGTCAGTGTCGCATTCGCGACTTTCTCTGGGCTTGTCAGGTGCCGTATTGCGGTGGAATGTTCGCATTTGCGAGGGAACAATCGCTTTTGCGGCTTCTGCACCTGAACAAAAGGGCTGAAAAATGGGACTTAGTTTCATATTATCATATTTTAGAACCCTAGACTCAGTAGGAGGTGATTTTGAGGAGAAAGTTTCACATACAACTATTGAGTAAGTGATTTTGATCAATTTTTAATTTTATTACATGATTATTTATGAGATTTAACCTCTAATCCATGGAATTTGAAGAGAATTTTTGGGAAATTTTGTATATGTTTTGAAAACAAAACACATATATGTGCTCATAGGGTTATGGGTAGTCGAGATCTACCCTTGGACTCGGATTTTGACCGGGGGAGCCAGAGGTTGACTTTTGTTCACTTTTGGGGAATTGTGTAAAGATCTTAGCTTTATTAATCGAAATTGGTTTCTGTTGCATTGTTTGATGATATTAAGTCATTTTTGGTTAGATTTGAGCCGCGCGGAGGCAAATGTTAAGGGAAAAGCCATTTTTGAGTGCTGATTTGGCGTAGTTGAGGTAAGTATCTTGTCTAACTTCGTGTGGGGAAAACTACCCCATAGAATTTGATTTAATTGCACTATTTGAATTCTGTGAAAGACGTGTACATAAGGTGACGAGTGTGTACACAGACTTATATGTGAACATTGATCGGTTTAAACTCTTAGGTTTCTTATATGCATTTAATTGAAGTTGTTATCTCATGTTCCATATTTCTTGTCAAGTTTATTCTTATATGCATTTAATTGAAGTGGTTATTACATGTTCTATCTTTCTTAGTTGAGTTTACTCTTATATGCATTTAATTGAGGTTGTTATTACATGTCATATCCTTCACTGTTAAGTTTATTCTTGTGTATTTAATTGAAGTTATAGTTATTGAGGAACTATTAACATGCTTTTAATCGAAGTTGTTATTTTTATAGAATATCTTTCATTGTTGAATTATTTCCCATTTCCTTTTATTGTTATTGAGATTCTTGTACAAATTTTGATTGAGCCGTGTGCTATGTATTGTGGTGATATTGTTGTTGTTGTTGTGGCAATGTTGTGGCATATGGACACATGTGGTGCGACTAGATAATTGTGTTATGATGAGATGCGCATGCGGCGAGATAAGGACATTTATGTGTGTGTTGCTAGTAAGGGAAATTTTTTCATTTGAAGCACACACGGCGAGATAAGGGGGCTAAAGCGCGTGAAGCTATTTCGGAAAAAATATTTTAAAAATAAATACAAGGCTCACGCGGAGATATAAGGAAGATTGTGATTGTGACTTGTGAAATGTGAATATGAGGTGTGATACCTCGAGGTGTTTCTTGTTGTACATTCTATGTTGGAACAACTTGTTGATTTGAATGGTTATTATTTTTCCGTAATTCATTTCACTTGTATTTTGACTGTATTTGATCATTTGTTATTTTTATCATATGTTCACTCTTTGTTGTCATTTATTGCTTTTACTTTCGTTGTTAGCCTTATGTTAACATTCTGCTTGTTGTCATTTATTATTTTTACTTCTCCTTGTTAGATTATATTAATATTTTGCACATGTTTCTACGCCTAGTAAGTGTCTTGACATGACTCCATCACCACTCCACCGATGTTAGTCTTGATACTTACTGGGTACCATTGTGGTGTACTCATACTATACTTTTGCACATTTTTGTGCAGATCCAGGTACCTTTGCCCGTGCCGGAAGCTAGTGAGTTACTTCAGACTTCACGGAGATTTTAAGGTATACCTGCTTGACACTCGCAGGCCTCGGAGTCACCTTCTCGTGATCATACGCTATTGTTTCTTTTGTTTCCGAACAATATTGAATAGAGATTTCTAGTCCATTTTAGTAGAGCTTATGTCTCTGTACCGCTGGTTTTGAGTTTGTATGACTGTTATTCCGTTATGATTTTATTATGTCATTTATCAGTTTAAATTAATAGCTTTATCATTTATATCTATTACATTCTCAACATATGCTAGGCTTACCTAGTCTTAGAGACTAAGTGCCATCACGATCCTAAAGGTGAAATTTGGGATCGTGACTAGTTGGTATCAGAGCTCTAGGTTCATAGGTTCTACGAGTCATAATCAACTTTAGTAGAGTCTTGCGGATGAGTACAGAGACGTATGTACTTATCTTTGAGAGGCTATAGAACTATTAGGAAATTCCACTTATTTCATTCCTTATCGTGCGAATATGTTGATTTCGAAATCTGAGCCTTTGTCTTTATATTCTCTCACAGATGGTGAGGACACATACTATCAGATCAGCTGAGCAGACACCCGCATCCCCTGCTAGATTCGCGAGAGGCTGGGGCCGGGATAGAGGCTGAGGAGGGTCACATGCTACAACTAGAGCACCTACCAGAGCAACGACTAAGGAGCCACTAGTAGCTGCGATGAGGGTCACCTGAGGCGATTGTTGCTACCCCTAAACTCCAGAAAACCTTAACACATTTCCTGAGCATGTTCGGCATTTAGCTCAGGCAAGATTAATCCCAGTTGCAACAGCTACATCTCAGGTTGGGGAGGAGCTCAGACTCCTGTGGCCACTCCAGAGTAGCGGGTCCATATGGATCAGGTTCTGGGAGTTATGCCAGCACATCCCGTTATCCCAGTTCAGCCAGAGGTCAGGTTGAGGCATCAGAGCAGGAGCAACAGAGGCTTGAGAGGTTCAAGACGTATGATCCTCCTACTTTCAGTGGCATAGTTATCGAGGATGTACAAGGGTTTCTAGACTAGTTCCACCATATTCTCTGCACCATGGGCATTGTGGAGGTAATCAGAGTCGTCTTTACTATATTTTAGCTGACAGGGGCAACATGTAAGTGGTGACAGACCTATGAGGAGGGTAGGCCAGTTGGTGCAGCGCCACTCACTTGGGCTTAGTTTCCAGATCTGTTTTTGAGGTAGTTTCTCCCCTAGACCATCCGGGATGCGTGGCGTACAGAGTTTGAGAAGCTATGTCTGGGGGATTTGACGGCGTCGGAGTATGCCATCGGGTTCAGTGAGTTCTCCTGTCATGCGCCTGCTTTGGTTTCTACAGTCAAAGTGAGTCCGTAAATTTATCGAGGGGTTTAGTTATGGTCTTATATTCAGTATGGTTCGGGAGTTGGAGACAGATACTCTCTTTCAGCAGGTTGTGGAGATCACTCGAACGACAAAGCGTATGCGTGGACAGGAGAGGAAGGATAGGAAGGCCAAGAGCCCTCGAGATTCTAGAGGATTTAGTGGTTCCCGCATTGCAGTTTTAGCTCGTCATGGCAGAGGGTATATGGCTACTAGTTCATTCAGCACTTCATTCTACTCACAATTCTCCAGCTATTTCGAGGTCTCATGTCGCCTATTGGGCACATCCACTTTCCAGTACGTCTCCCGTACGGAGTGCCTTTAGCGATTAGTCTAGCGGACCAGGTCAGACTCAGTTTCAGTAGCCACGCCCACAGAGAGGTTGTTTCAAGTGTGGTGATACTAGGCATATGGTGAGGGACTGTCCTAGACTTAGTAGGGTTGCACTTACACAAGCTCCACAGGTTCCACAGGGTCCACAAGGTTCCCAGGTTGTGGTTGCTGCTCCAGTTGCCACTCCACCTGCACCGCCAACTAGGGGTGGAGGTTAGGCGGGTAGAGGTCATCTTAGAGGGGGAGGCCAAGCCCGTTGCTATGCTTTTTCGGGTAGGACCGAGGCTGTTGCATCAGATGTTATCATTACAAGAA